TAAGTTTAAGAAAGGTGAAGCAACCCAAGTATATTAATAGTTTACTTTGTTGGAGTTTATACCCACTTTTTATTCCGTAAACAATATTTTGGGGCGATATTATTCACTTCAAAGAAACGCGGCTAAATGTGAAAGGAATTCCTAAATCGAGGTGAAACATACACATTAGAATCAACATTATTTTTACTTAAAATTAAGGACACATTTCGTGGAATCTTTACACTCCGAAGCGATAATTTAATCTCTTAGAATAATTTATTTTCCTGGGTAATAAATTATAGTGAACTATGGAATTTAACAATTTATGCTCGAGTGGGTTTATTTTTACATACAATCAACCAGCAGTCAGGATAAGACCGTCGCGTTTTTTATAGCGCGCCACGCTCTGTTCATTCCTTTGTCTTGGACGCCAACCAAAATAAAAACATCACACCTTATGGTAAAATAAAGCGCGTAAACATAGATAATGCATGGTAGTTTGTAATTATGTAAAATACAAAAGCGACGACACAAAATACATTTAAGAGATTCACACATATTCGATTTTGTTATGAGAAAAAACTGTCCTGACGGCAGAAAAGCCATTAAAATTTAATTCGTCGCATGTAGTTTCATTTACAGGCATCGAATATCTCTACCTTTTTATTAGTCCATAGAAAAAGCTTTTCTATGATCACAGATTGCTAGGGGTTATCATAAACCACAAAACCATACTTTTTCCCGAACATCCTTAAAACTGACACTAAAACAGTTGCATAATTTATGGGCCCAGTAGTGTAATCTGATAGTTCATCTATGTACATACCTTGATTATTTGACAGCCGAGGCCAGTTCGTTTAAAATGAATATAGAACACACCATGTGACATTATTTTTTCTGAATATTAAAACGTCATCTTAAATAGAGAAGATTTAAATAGTCACGAAGTAGCAAAACGTGGGATTTATCCGACGGCTACGTGACGTGTCATTGTAGCAGGGCGAGTAGGTCCACTCCACTTGGATTTCACAGCCACCTGACTCAAAGATACCCGGATTATAGGCTCTGCCGCAACGAGCGTGATATGTTTTTGTTTTTGTCGGCTCAGGCGGTTTAAACAAAGGAATCAGCCGACGGGTTGTCTGTAAAAACCCGCGACGCTCTTAGCCGGACGGATAAAATAAGCTGACATGGACTGTTCAGTAGCAGTTTTTCTTGGAGGTTGCTGCCAGTTGTTTGATTAAGTGCTACGGTGGTTAATCGGGAAGTATCTGTTACTTTCATACCTTACACAGCTGACCGCATACTTTTTGAAATCCCTTTTTCGTTTGTCGTAGATAAGTAAACCAATATTGGATTAAAAAGAATACAGCAAAAAGTTTAGCATCTGAAACTTCAAGTGAAGAGCACAAATTTTATAAAAATGTGTGATGATATTGATTTGTTCAGTACCCTCTACTAGTTTCTAGATTCTTTGGATGACGTCGTTTTACACTTGTCTTGTACCTTATCATACAGTGTTTGGTTCACATCTATAGGTTCTTTGCTGGAAATTAAGTTGGAACATGTTATAAATTATTTTTCAAACTTCAACTGGATTTCATGCAATTTATTATGAGACCACCCAACATACGTGTATGTACTTCGTAGAAAAACGTTTCAAAATGGATATCTAGAGACGGTTTTATCTTTCTTCAGATAACGACCTGTGACCTGTTTTCTGGTTAAACAGTTTAATCAACGTTTGGCCGGTTAATAAAACACTGTTCCATAGGCGGCTCGGCAATAGCTTTAAAGCCTTAGTTCTATCCAGTGGCGTAAAACTGGGGAGCCATGAGGGGGAAGTCTAAAAATATTCTAAAGGCGCCTGGTGTGTAAATTATTCATTCATCCCAAAATTAGCAAAGCTTTGGAAAGGATGCTCGATATTTTAATGGTGATACAGTATTTGCGATTAGATATCGGGATGTGTATGACAAAGCAAAATTCCTGCATAATTTTTTTAAGCTTTTTAACGCTCAGACATTTTAAATCTGTTTTTATTTTATGATTGGCCATAAAATAAATGAATAGAAACGATACTTTGCCTTGAAAAAATCTGTCGAATTTTTTAGATACTGTCCGTTTTTTTATTAACTTCCAATATTTTTTTAATCATATGACGTCACATCACAAAAACAACGTTTTGCACTATTTTTTTAACCCACCAATTCGAGATATCTGAAAAAACATAGAAGTGTCATTATATCCACTTCACGAGTTGAAATTATAAAACTATGTAAATTCCGTTAGAAAAGTACGAGTTTTAGAAGCAACATGGCATTCCTTTCGATAACTTTTGTGGCCAGCCACTTTAAAATTTCGAACATAAAACACGTGAAACTTTGTTTAGGACTTCGATAATATTTATGGAAGTCGAACATACAGCCTGTTTTTATGCAGAAGTATTCTATAAACACGAATGTTCCTGGATAAGCGACACAAACCCGTTCTGAGTTACAATTATAACATAACTTTCTGAAACGAACTAGGAGTGCTCTACCAGTTTTCGACTTACGATTCTTTTGAAGTATCCTATCTTCACGTCGTTTCTTAAACAAGAAATATAAGCAAAATTTTCAAACGTATCAAATGAGGATGAAATACCATGCTGAAGTCGTTGTGATAATTTTGACTGAAATATTTTCCTTTTTAACAATGTAAAACAAAAAGAAACTCCACCTATAACATTAAATTGTTAGGTATAAGGAGGTTTTGAATTTTGAATCTGATTGATGTGCACCTTCACCAAAATTTCAATTCCGCGTTTGATACATCAACTGTGAAGAAAAATAATCTTCAACTGTTTTCCAATCAATCGCTATAGATATTTCCGCAATGGTGGCAAATTGCTTAATGTATTTAACTACGAATATATTGGTGTCAGTGAACCTTAGATAATAACCCTGCGAAACACCACTGCGTAGAAATCATAGCCTGAGCAGAGCCGTTCTCACATTCCCGCATTTGAAGTCGCCTGGCATTTTCACGATAATACTTAATGGTGTCAAATGTCACCGTTCCTCTCTAATTGTACGGCATGGTATTTTAAATGTCTTCAAGCCTCGATTATTATTGTTTGACTCGTATTAATGTAGAGGTTATGGGTGGACGCAGGTCAATTGGTATGTTTACGTAATGTTACCGCTGTGCTACATGATGACTAATTGGTTCGTCCTCATCTCGGAATGACTCTGAGAGTGTGTGTCAAAAAGTTGCCCTTTGTTAATAAAACAAGGAACTTTTTTCGTTTAACCTCTCCAATTAATGGTAATTGTTTGGTGTGCTACTAGATAGTCTGGTCTGTATTATGTGATGGTACTCAATAAAACTTTCACTCTCCATTATATCGGATAGTCTAGTTTTTTGAACAACAGCTGAAAAGTTGAGGTAAAAAAAATGTGCGCTAGGTGTTGGGATTTGAACCATTACATCTGTGAATCCATCACAACGAACTTGCCCATTATCCAGTAGGAATGTAACGGCTATTCGCATTCGCCTCCCCATTCAAAATTCATGCGAATCTCTGGGAATACGAATTTCCTAAAAAGAGAATATAATAATAGCATTAGGTACTTAAATAAATTTTATCAGTTATTTCCATCTATTTCAATAATTTACACCATTTCCTGAAGAGTTTGTCTTAGATGTAAATAACAGTCTCACAACTACTAATCTCTAACCTATCTGTTCCAGACATGTTCGATATCCTTTCGTCTAACAGTGAAGGACATTATCTATGTTGGAAATTTATAAACTTCTTAGTGTCTATGAATTTCCATTGCTACCAAGAATATTGTTTTCACGTTTTAATGCATGCGTTTCTTATTTAACGGAAGGCAAATATTGCGCTTCGCTTGCATTATATCTTAATTGAAATCTCCTAAGAATTTCCATTCTGCTGACACCCATATTACAAAACAAATACTCAGAAATTGTATGACCTATTACACGACCTATTTGAAACTCCAAAAAATCATGCTTTTCTCGCATGCTATCAAAATAAACCATGGCAATCTGGAATCTTTTCCGTATTTTGCAAACACCTACTCTGTCGTTATCACAAACCATAATGATAACTAGTATAAACAATTTCGGTTTTACGTATGATGCAGTTTATTATTATCTTATTTTAGGTGCTGTGTTTGTTATAACATGGTGATTTTTCCCAACAGATTGTATGTAAATAAATACAACAAATTTATCTCAGTCAACGTACTTCTGTTAAATGGGTTGGAACTTCCTAACCGCTGTATACAAAGTATCCTGTAGAAAATGGATCACACTCCATAATATAGCCATTCCTATCTTTATTAATATATTTCGCGCTCAGTCTTAATGTGACCATGTTTCTTTGGTAGTAAAGTTCATGAAAGATTTGGATCAAATAGAACGCAGTCTTTTCTTTAAATTTTTAATTAATAATTGAACCATTAAGCACATCCAGCATATGGCCTCATCGGGTTGGCTGGCACATACGTACTTTTTATAACCATTTTCAATGAATCGAGCTAAATTTCTGCCTAAATTAAAGACTATTGATTTAGATAACACGTGAAACATTCCAATTACTGCATGGAACAATTTCCTGGTCACGGTATCGATGGTTAGAATTAACTCCTTAGATTGTATGATTTGACACCATAGGATTTTTTATGGGATTATTTCAAGTTAAAGATCTATACCAATGTGCCTACAGACACGCGTGCATTGAAGAAGGAAATTCGAGCCGGTCTCAACAAAATTCAGCCACATTTATGCAAAATGGTGATGAAAGATGACACCAAAAAGATACGTACTTCCTAGCAAAGCAGATTAGACATAAAAGAAGATTAAAAAAATATCACATTCGTTTCCATCTTGGGACGTTGGGAATTGACTAGTTCACTTGTTACTATTTCCAAGTCACCTACAAACCAAATATTTTGAGCTCAATGTTTCATATGACGAGAAAATCTTTAATTACTTCTCTTTTGTTACAGTCCTGCAAAATCTGCAACAAGACGTTCGCAAATGTGTATAGGCTACAGCGACACATGATCAGCCATGATGAAAGCGCCGTACTTAGGAAATTCAAATGCACAGAATGCGAAAAAGCCTTCAAATTCAAACATCACTTAAAGGTAAAGAATTTTTTTCTTGTTTCGGTTTATTATACAGAGAAAATTTGTTAGAGACTTAACACTTAAAAAGTCCCTTATATACATCGTGTTTAGGAATTCCATTTTCTTCCGGAGTAGTTATACCTGTATATGTCCCTTAATAAAGTTAAAAAATCACATCAACTTTGTAAAATAAATAGTTAGTATTTATTCATCTCACTACCTCAATCACAATAGTTAAATATTCGATTGTAGTCTTGAATTGATTTTGCTGAGAAATATTTTACGATGGAAAGCACCAGAATCCATTTTAGTCTCAGTTTGAGTTTTAAAGATAAGTCTAGCAATTACGTCTAAGAAATTAAAGAAATCCATTTAGCAATAAGTTATTAAAAAAACGGAGTCTCCTAAGTGACGCGTCATAAAGACCTTTATTCCACCAATTTCCCATATTTTCAAAAACAGAAATCGCTATTATGCAATTATTTGGAAATTCTGGTATCATAATTCTCGTTAATTTTTGTTACAGGAACACATCAGAATCCACAGTGGAGAAAAACCATTCGAATGTGGGAACTGCGGGAAACGTTTCTCCCATTCCGGATCCTATTCTAGTCATATGACATCAAAGAAGTGTCTTGTAATGAATCTCAAATTAGGTAGAACTAGAGCTCCAACGAACAATACTCTCTTAGACAAAACCTCACAGCAGAGCGTACGGATACCAAAGAGAACCAATGTTAGTCCAATAAACAACAATATTCCAACTAGTCCCAATCACAATGCCTACTTGCCTATACTCCCGAAGTATTCAGAGGCTGCAGCAGCGTTCTTCCAGTCCTCTCTAGCAGGCAATACTTCTCTGTCTCCTTTTTATTTGACGCCTCCGTCTTTGCTCAACGCTGGTCATTCTATAGACCCTTACCGTACTATTCCTTCGTTGGGTCACATTTTGGAGCAGTTACAGCAACAAAATGCTAACCATTTACGACCTCCAATTATGGACTCTGATACGCCTACTAGATACGTCACCCCGCACAGTTATGATACAGCTAGTGTCAAATCGGAAAACAACGAAAATATACCAACATCGAATGCTGGATCAGAATGTGGCGATCTGGTCATGGATGAAGACGCTGATCACGAACCTGAGACAGCAAAAGTAGAAACCGAAAGTAAAGATACTACTAATAATGGAGACTTAGAAGCTGTGAAACGGATATTAGAAACAGTAAATGCAACAGTTACCAAAGAGTTACTCCAAGCGAATATGCAAAGAGTTACTTCAGACTCTTCTAGTGATAGCCATAGTGTCGCATCGTCGCATTCACCTCGAGCATTTAGTTGCAGTCACTGTAAGAAATCGTTCTCATCTTCAAATCAGTTAGAAGAACATGAGTGTGAAGACCATAGAAGTGAAGGCTTGGCCGCCAAATTGGAAGACGCCTTGACGTCAAAGTCAGATGATGCTCATAACGGTAGTATTAGTAGCGGCGAAGAACAAGAATACGACAGGTTACATTACAATGCTAATGATGAAGTTGACTCAGAATCTTTCGCTACCACGGATCACGTTTCTGAAGACGGTAGGAAAGTCAGGGTCAGGTCATTGATCTCCGATGAACAGTTGAAAGTTCTAAAGGACCATTACAAATTGAATGCAAGGCCCAAAAGGGAAGACCTGGAGAAGATCGCCTCGACGATAGGGTTTCCAGTAAGGGTAGTGCAAGTTTGGTTCCAGAATACAAGAGCAAGAGATAGACGAGAAGGCCGTCTGTTTCAAGTTCCTTACAATCCAGCGTCGTACCCGCCAACAACAAGCGTGGTTCCAATAAAGCCTCATCCAGAAAGTTCGCCACCTCCTGAACCAGAGTATATCTCGGAACAACCATTGGATTTGTCGATAAGAAAAGGGTCCTTGTCCAATGAATCGTCGCCAGTGAGCTCACCGAGAAGACCTCCTTCAGTCAACCACCAAGAGTCTAACGACGAGGTGGTGAACCTCAGCAGAAAGTCGTCCAGTCCAGGTAGGTTAATATCATTGACATTAGATTTATTTTAGTTTACTTTAGTAATGTAGTATCACAGCGGCATCATTTTCCTTCTCACGATTATTGTTCGACACAAGCATGTTCAATGTTTCTAGTTAATATGAAACGAATTATCTTTCTACTCCTCCTGGCGAGGAAGTTATTTTAAGCACGAACATGTCTAAAATTAAATATTTTTTTTTATGTTACATGACAGGTACATCACGAAAAACCATGTCATTCATTTTAGTCGGTCTGTCTGTCTGTCCGCTAATCCGTGACCTCTCTATAACTTGGAAACTACCACTCAGATTTTGATGAAAATTCCACAAAAGGTTATTACTATGCCAAGGATGTAAAAGATTTGTCGTTTTTGAAAATCGGTACAGTGGCCGCGGAGTTACGGACAAAAAACAAAAGCCTCTTGTTTTTTGACGTTTGACAGACTCCTAATCATTTATGATTTTTTTTTTGACGGGTGAAAAACTGTGGGGAGGTAGGGAGGGTGTACCTCAATTTTTTGACGGTAGTATGTTTATAAACTTAACACCAGTAATTCTACGCGCCTATTAGTCGTACTTCACATATAGATTTATTTCCCCGTACATTTGCTCTTAAGACTTAGAATGATGAAATATTTTTTTTATAAAGCTTATGGCTAGCCTCTGCGGCTGTATCTCAGGTGAAAATCCACGAGATGAAACTATACAATTGTGTACCTCTGGAACTAAGAGTAATCAATTCTCAATCAATGTTTAAAAGCAGGTTGTCAAGATAGATGTTTTCTATCACCAGATGTCATTTGAACGACTTTGTGGAAGGTAAAACGCGTGTTTTAAAACGTATGATTTTTACCTACTGTGTGACTGTCAAGGTCTACAGCCCCTTTATCCTTGTAAATTTTTAGTATGTGTTTACTGCTTTTACCGCCGTTTTTGATATATTTTATAATGTATACTTATGGTCTCCTCTATTTCATACTTTGCGAGTTTCATTTTTGTTTGTTTTAATTCGTTTTTGGGTATTGTTGCGGCGCTAAAATTTTGTACCGTACTTTTAACTATCGAATTTTTAAACCAGTGTCTCGCAATGTATATTTGTATTTTTTAGTTTGTTTTCGAGCATTGTTACAGTGGTGAACTAACGGGTGATTTTTTAAGAGGTATAGGATTTGATTTAAAAAAAAACACAAAAAATTTGAAGAAACGATTAAATCTTTATTTGAGTCGATAGAACGGTCGATATAATTTAATGTTTAAAGATTATTTCATGTAAATGTTGGCCGCGGCTCCGCTTTAGATGGCCCATGCTCAAGGTCCAATTTTGGCACACTCTCTCCAACATATCGGCCGGTATCTCACGAATAAGTGCTTCAATATTGGATTCCAGTGCGTCAATCGTTGCTGGTTTATCCCTGTAGACATTAGTCTTAACAACAAGAAATAGTCCAACGGCGTTAAATCACACGATCTAGGCGGCCAATTGACGGGTCCTAAACGTGAGATAAACTGTTCACCGAACTCGCCTCTCAATAGGGCCATTGTTTCGTGTGCCGTGTGGCATGTGGCACCGTCTTGTTGAAACCACATGTCAGCCAAGTCCAGCTCTTCCATTTTGGGCAAAAAAAAGTTTGTTATCATCGCACGGTAGCGCTCGCCATTCACAGTTACGTTCCGGCCATTGTCGTCTTTGAAGAAGTACTGCCCGATGATGCCACCGGCCCATAATCCACACCAAACAGTGATTTTTTCGGAATGCATTGGTAGCTCTTGCAATGCTTCTGGCTGGTCTTCACTCCAGATGCGGCAATTTTGCTTGTTAACGTACCCATTCAACCAGAAATGAGCTTCGTCGCTGAACACAATTTTTCGATAAAAATGTGGATCTTCCTCCAACTTTACCAGCGCCCATTCACCAAATGGGAAACGTTATGGGAGGTCGTGTGGCCTCAATTCTTGCACCAGCTGTATCTTATAAGGTTTTACACCCAAATCCTATCGCAAAATTTTCCACGTAGTGGAGTAACAGAGGCCCAATTGCTGCGAACGGTGGCGAATCGACATTTCACGGTCATCACTAACACTGGTGGATACAGCCGCAATATTTTCTTCAGTCCTCACTCTACGACTGCGTGTTGGTGGTTTAATGTCCAATAATGTAAACTGGGTTCGACATTTAGTCACAAGCTTCCGAATAGCTCCCTCAGTAGGCCGACCAAATTGCCCATAAATTGGAAGCAATGCTCGATGCACTCTCTTAACCGAGCATGAATTTTGATAGTAAAATTCAATAATTTGCAAGCGTTGTTCGTTCGTTAGTCGATTCATGGTTAAATTATAGACCAAACTGAACAAGTTTGACAATGACACAAGACACGATTCACGCGTCATCTGTCAATAACAGTGTTGCCAAAAAGATACTAGCAAAAAAATCACCCATTATATATATATATATATGTATATTCTTAAAGGTTTTTAATGTTTTTCTGATTAAACTCGATCATGGAACAAATGGCAAGGAAAACAGCAACACACACACAAGTGATACCTTCGTGGTTTTCTGTTTATTTAGGACCAAGTTTTTGCGTAGTAGTAGTTTCTTAATTGAAAAAAACTGAAAATTAGTACTGTGATAGCTTACTTTTAGGCGTTCCCTGTACCGGCAGGATCATCATCGTGTTAAGTATTACAAATTTTGACGTCGCTTCGAGCCTGTTATTAAAAAACTGTGAATTAAAATCACGTTTTGGAGGCCATTTGAGCCACAGGACTTTGTAAAACATCTGCAATCACCTTATGATGAAAGTACATATTTAAACTAAAGGAATACTAAAATATCAATTTCAATTACTATACTATACAGGTCATGTATTTCAAAGCCTATTTCTTCTGTTTACAGGCCCCTATGTACCTCACCATTACCATGGTTCCAACTCATCAGAACCCCGACAATCACCTTCACCGTCCGCGTTGGACTTCAACAGCAGTAGGTTGGCCCAGATGTTAGCTCAACCAAGTCATATGACCATACCCGGTATGGGTCTGGTATCCCTAATGGACCAGCCAAGTTTATCGCACCTGATCAAAGTGAATCTGTCCAGCTTGAGTCCACAAGGGAGAAAACGGGGGTCTGACATGATGGACGATGATCCTAATGGGGCTAAAAGGAGGTGCATGCTCAAAAATTTCGGCGTTCCGGTGTACGATGGACAAGAACCAGAGGTTGAGGGTCAATTCAGCTGTGATCAATGTGATAAGGCGTTCTCCAAGCAAAGCTCGTTGGCTAGGCACAAGTATGAACATTCAGGTGAGACATTTACTTATTTATTTTCTATGATATACTCGAGAAGATAAAACCACGCACATGCGAACAATCCATCCTTTGCACGCGTGACGTCACTCGGTGACAAAATTCCCCAAAGACGGGTGTCAAACGTTTGATTTAACTTGGCGCTTTAGCACGTAATTTGTAATTAGTTTCGTTAGTTTGTTATCTGGTATGTTTCAAATAAGCCTATGTGTGAAATATAGCATTAAAAAGAATGAGTTAAACATTTAAGTGTGTTGTATTGTGAAGTGTTGCGTTGTTCAAACAACAGCAACAAGAAAAGCAGAGACGTTCGGAATTGGCGTTTATTGAACCTTTCAAAGAACAAAGAAGTTCACGAACAATGAGTTCTGAAATATTATGAGCAACCCAAATTCAATTCAAAAACTGCAAGGATATGTTTTGTGGAAAGCGATTACTATTTAAAAGAAAACATGGTGGGATTACCTCAAAATAAATGGTTCGAAAGTTACCAACGGCGCATACTTCTCGCGGTATATAAATTAATGAAAAAAGGCTAAATATGATGAAAATTATAAAATAAATTCAATAAAACTGTTTACCAATACAGAAGATTTTTTATCGTCACCCAACCATAAAAAGTATTAAGGAACCATGTTGACACAGAAGATTTTACAAAAACTTTCTTGTATAAAAAATTCATATAATAAATTAATATGTGTTACTGGTGTTTAAAATCAATTTGTTCCGATAATAAGAAAGTGATAGCTTTATCAAGATATTTGATCGTATCTATAATGATACACTTCATTTCATTCTATTCTAACATCAAACTACAGATGAAACATTCTGTATAGCACCTACTAAAATAATCAGGTAAGATCAATATCACCGAAAATATTCCAAATATTGAAAAGAAAGCGCTCTCATACGATAATTTAATACCGACAAGCGGAATAGTCGTCACCGAGAGACGTCATGCACAACGGCGTACGAGATTCGATCAATTCGAGTATATCTCCTCGAGTTATAGGTAGCACCATGTTTATTATCCAATAGGCTACTGAACCTACGGAATCTAACAGATTTAAGATTTTCTTAAAGCCACTTACTTACGTAGAAACGAATAGCGGATGCTTCGAAAGCTCTTCACCTGGTGCGTTTTTCAGTACAGTGAGTTCAGCGCAAACGTACACAAACACATACCATGTTCGCAGTGACGTACGATGAGTTATGCTACCCTCTAACATTTTGATACTTGACTATAGGAAATTTGATAACTTAACCTAAGATAGCAGTACACCTTCAAGTGTTTATCGGTCAAAACTAAGTCTGTGTTAGACGTATTATGCTAAAATACCCAATAAACTCTGTAAGATATATACAGAGCGATCTGAAAGTTGTAGCTTGGATCCTTATTCTTGAAAACGAGAGTGTAGAGTCAATGAGACAAAAGGGACGTGGTCGTCTTCTCTGAGGAATTGTCTGTTGGCATCAGGATTGTTATGTTTTAATCAAAATGTTTAAAACAACTGTTTTAAACACTGTTTAAAACATTGAAGGTGTTTTAAACCAATTTGTTTTAAACTGTTTAAAACATGTTTTAAACACTGGTTTTTGTCGTTTGTGAATTATTCAAGTTCTTTTTATATTTGTTTAAGTATGTTTAAAATTGATTTTATTATGCCTAACGAAACTAAAAGGGCCATAAGTTAAAACACATAGGTACTAAAAATAGATATACTTTGTTTTCTATTAATTAACCAAACAAGAAACTAGGGAACTAATACTAGAGGAAAAAATCTGTTTCTTAATGAACGAGTGAACTTAATGAACTGTATTGAACTCTAATACTAGTACACTAAAAGCAGCAGAATAATCATATAATATGACTACGTATTTACTTGTATAATAACATTAAATAAGTTACTTAAAAAATTTCTATACAAGTATACCACCCATCTTATTTAACAAAAAATTCTTAAATACATATTTTTAAAATATAAAATCATGGAAAATGTATATAGAATACCAACTCCAAGTAAAAAAATGTACCTTTTCACAATTCTTTAAGCTACTTAACTTTCAGGAAATAGGTTCGGTAGAAACATCATCATTGTCGGTATCAGAACTATCTGATATATGAATATTTTGTTTTTCTAACAAACTTCCTTGTTTAAGTTGTTTACAATGTTTAATATGCTTGCGCATTCCATATCCATATTGCAGGTTAAACATTTTACTCTTTTATTTTCGAGCCAGCTTTGGCATCAGTCTCCTTAAAATATTTCCACACGGGATCCTTTCTCCTCCCTGGCATTGCATTTCTTTTTTTGCCGATCTTTAATGCACAAAAAACAAAACACACCACCACGCTACAACTTCGCACATTTGACTGCTGGAGATCGCAACGCGAAAAATTACCCAAAGGCAAACGGTACTTCCCCGACGTCCCCACGCTAGTTTCCCGATGTCCGCTTTTAAATTAGAGATGTGCTCTGATATAGAAATCTATCAAAAATAGTAATAACACTTTCAAGGAACTCCATTAACGTTGCTAGATTATATAGGCAATGGTTTTTTTTTCACTGTCTTAAACATGTATTAACCGTGTTTTTTTTTCAGCTTAATTTGAATGTTTTAAACAAAACAAAAAGTTTTAAACAAAAAAAATATGTCTTTAGGGATATGGCGAAAATGATTCTGGTAGCGACTATACTATCAGCGTTCAGGAATACAGTTCCCCGGGACAGAACCACCCCTACTTTCTCTCAGTTATTTATTTGAAGAATCAATATACTGTACTGAAACAGCTAAGTTTGAAATAATACAGCTAATACCTGTATGTAGCCACAAAAACAAATTAAAAAAGAAGTGAAGAAAGGAAACATTCATTCGGTAAAAAAATTACACCGCCGTCTCACGTACTGCCTTTAAATACTGTTCGGAGTTCTCGACGTTCGATTCAAAAACGTAGGATTGTCAACTTCTACCTCAATTGGTATCATTCGGAGCTATCTAGATCTTCTACTGTACACACCTCGCTGTTCCTACAGACAGGCTTTGTACGAGATAAGCAAGCCTACGCGGCGCGAGATGGAAACGTCCAGACAACTGTCTGAATATACTCGCGAAACATCTTGAAGATACTCACTGTGAACTAGTGTCATATTGAGAAGCTTGTTATTGCTACGGGAATGTGCCATGTTATTTTTATAATCCATTTTAAACAGATTTAATAGCTGGGTTTACCTACACAGCATGCGATGTTTGGGTTGGATCAGTACGCATGTCGTATCTTCTCACCTAATAACATAATAGTGAATTTTGGAGGCACCTTTTCTATTTGTCATTTTTTGTTTGGTATGGAGAGTGTCTCAGTTGTATATTGCTAATATAGTTCTGTCTTTGCAGGTCAAAGGCCTCACAAGTGCGACGAGTGTACCAAAGCCTTCAAACACAAGCACCATTTAACCGAACACAAAAGACTACATAGTGGCGAAAAACCTTTTCAATGCAGCAAGTGTTTGAAACGCTTCTCCCACTCTGGATCCTACAGCCAGCACATGAACCACCGGTACTCATACTGCAAACCTTACAGAGAATAATGCCAGAGACTGTATAGAAACTACTTTTAAGAATATAGCTCATAAATGTCCCTACGTGGTGATTATACTTCCATGGTTCAAGCTGGTTTTTTGTACTATTCACACAAACTTTCCCAATTACATGGTGTAGGTTTCACTATATTCACTAGCTTCGTCTGATTAAGAACAGCTCTTTACCATTCAGACAATAATACACTTCTAAGAGCACAATGAAATCGTTTGCTTCAACATCACTTCAAAAAGAGTGATCAATCAACCTAAAAATAATATGCATTCCTCATTACTAAAGTATACAAAATGAAAACATAACCGCTCGTCGCCCGTAATTTTAAAAAAATTGTGTAAAAAATACATAAGACTTGCTTGAACTGTTTGTAAGGTTATACGTGCTCTCTAAGTGGACTATCTGCCAAAATTTTTAATCTCTGACAAGTAAATATTTTTGAGCAGCAGTGTACTACGGGAAACTCTTGCCAAATAAGGTAAATGTATATAGGTTATGATAAACTTTAAACAGATCTGCAGAAATATTTATGATGATGTGCTACAATTTATTTTAAGTATGTACTTGACACAGTTCTCAGAGTTCTCCAAAGAAAGCAATGTGCAATTGAACTCTCTCCTCTGATATTTTGTTATTAGTTTCGTCATTTCCCAGAGTTTATATTAATATTAAGCTTTGTTTTTTATATTTTTTTGATTGTTCATTAAGTTCCAAAACAGTCTCAATCCAAATCTGCAGTTAACAGCGAAAAAGTAAAAAAAATGAAAAACTACTCACCGTTCATCGAACAGAAAGTCCAAGTACAGCTCTGTCACTTGTAAGTATTGTTCAACGTTGTCCGCAATAGATTCAAAAACACATGAACGCAGAGACATAGGACTGCCTTTCCCGAATTCGCTAACGAAGTTCGTCAACCGTTTCCACCCTCGGTTTTAGGAAATAATTTTATTTTGCTCCAAACAAAAAAAAAAGGAAATCACGAGTTATCTTGAAAAACGATCAGCATGCTCTCGCGAAGCCTCGGTAACATTTCGAAAACATTCACCGTGAATTAAAATAATATGGACAACTCCGATATTGCTGTATGAGTATATTTTTACCTTGTTTTTTTTAGAACCGATGTGTAAAGGTTTTGTTTGTCCACGCGGTCAGTGCCTGGATGGAGTACTGATGCGCATCGTACGTACGTCAAGGTGCAGGCCACTTGAAAGTCTTAGTTAAAAAACCGGTTTGGCGAGTGGTAGAACTCGATAGCATAAAATCACACTCTTGTTCTACACCCTTGGTTATTGCATATTATATGAGATTCTTTTCGCTTTATATTTTTGCAAGCAGATAGTAGATTGCTGGGACTGTGTTTGGAGTCTTATGAACCTTTGAATCAATTGGTTATAATCATTCCACAGAGACAAAAAATTTCTAAACTAACACGACTTGTAAATAATAGGAATACCAAATCTGGTACCTGCATAATAATACTCATAGATATATAAATTTAAGTTTAGTGCCAGAAAGAATCAATGGTCTTCCACCACTTTCATAAATAGTGGTGTTTAGCGCAGGCAACGGGCACCAAAGGCAATTTTCGGAAAACTTAAAATTTTAGTCCTTATGTGCAATTGGATAACGTTCGCAATGCCATTCGACTCCAGATATTTTATCAAACAATGAGTCAATATTACAGTAGGTAATCAACCTATACAAAAGGTCGATTTATAAACTCTAACGTGCCATACCGTCGGCGTACTGTTGACGTAACGCTACCGCTGACAGTTAATATCAATTTGTAACCTTACTAAAGTTAGGGCGTGACGCATAACCTAAGGCAAGATTGCATTATTTCTTAAATATCAGGCCAAACTTGTCTGCAGATCATATGCAGTGTCTTCATCACTTGTAACACACATCTGATAATTCATATTATTATTTGAATAAACTAAATAAAATATAGTAAACAATCTCAACGGAAGTCACGCCGGATAAAACAAAACATATGTCATATCAAACAGAAAACAAAATGAACTGATCCGACGCAACAAACACGTGATTTGCAGGCTCCTTTTCGTTAGTTGAAATGGCAACGGCAGAAAGTTAAAAATTCGTCAAGTCGTCAGCGTTACAAACGGACGTTGCGTAATTCCTTCTTATAAACAGTTCAACGTCGAGCGCATGCAAGTTCGGCAGTGTTGTGGAACGTCAGAGCTTATTAATCGACCTTTAAGGTCCATCAACCCCAGTTTTGACTTCAGATCCGTGTTCAGCATGAAAAATTACATGGGAAAACTATAGTTGCAGTTACTCATTTTTATTCTGTGGGCTTGTGTTGCGTTACTCTACTCTATTCTTTCTTCTTTATTCTTTGTATAGCGTCAGTATTCCGGCTACCTCCAAAATGACTTAAATCATTGAGGTAGATTTTACTACAGTAAGTAAAGAAATAATCTAATGCTTATCATTGTTTGAAAGAAAAACTCTGCGAGTGCCATTAGTTACCAATATAAATTTAGTCGGGTATAATATTAAAAAGTTATTGTGATTGGAAAATTCGATATATTATTTTTTTATTATTACGAGTGTAGATATGTAAATAATACGTATTGCTTTCTAAGTGCCATATACCAACGAAATTGCATAGCCTAGTAACTGTAGATAAGAAATTTATTGGTTTCAGTACATCGATGATACCATAGATTGTAAGTGACGATTTATGATTGGTAACCTGCCTTTAGTTTGTAAACAGTACAATAAGAGGCAAAACAGAGGTTTCAGGGAAATATGCTTAGACACAAAATACCGAATCCAACATTTTGAATTAAATAACACCACACAAATGGACAGATGCTATACAATCCAAGCAATCATTAAAAATTATACTAAATACATCTCTATCCTTTACAACAGTTCCCCCTAAAACGGTTTGGGATTTTATGAATAGCCGTTTGAAGAATATTTAGGAACTTTGGCAATTTTCGTTTTTCATACTGTTTTTTGGTGTCGAAAATAGCATATTTTGAGCCGACTTTTTTAAATAACTTCCAACATCTCCTGGACTATTGTGTCCAATATATTTCGTCTGACAATGTGAAATACTCGTATCATGTAGTTTGTCACCATATTTCCCTGGAAGTGCTCAAGTGCAGCCATGCATCTGAGATGTTACATGACAATACGTAGTGCTGGTAGTTGCAACAATACAATGAAAAAATGGTGCAAGTCTTTATCTTTTTATAGGCATTTATTTCTAATAGGTATTTTTTCAAGAGACGACGGTGGTTACGTTACCAGTTTATGAATTAATGTATTTTTGTATATTTTACTGATGTGAATTATATGTGCCATATACATAAGTTTCTTAAATCCAGTAGTCAGCCCCACGTACTTGTAGTCTCAATGCAAGTATGTAAAAGTAGCAAAGCATTTGGTGAACCTCAAACAATATTTATACGTTCGATAAGACCACAATTCGTTGTCAATAATATCTGTACACTTTATGGTCGATTTCAAAATAATGTTAATCCTCTGATTCACAGGTTTCCTGTATCTGACCATATTTCAAAATCAGGAAAGTAAAAAAAATACGATGGAGAGGCATTAGATTCTAAGATGCTACTTTTATAAAAGCTTATGTGGTACATTTCCGAATCTCAACTGACGATATAGAATATTTAAAAAAAACTTAAATTAAACTTTAATTTTTGAACGGATCAAGTTAGTGGACTGAAATTCGGAATGATAAAATTGATGCATGAATACTAAATTTCAGCGTAAATGGATAGTTTAAAGTTTCAAGATGACGGCTGGACATCATCTTGGACCATTTTTTAACTGGAAGAGGGTTCATGTGAGAAACAATCTCATTTTGAAGCTCTTGATGAGTATAAAGAATAGAGTATAATTCACTATCTTTCAAAATGGCGGACCATCGGGCTGCAAAAGTTGAACGTTTTTATACACTGAATCGCTTATAACTCTACATCTCATCATAAAAACACTATAGTATGTTATATAAATCTTCTTCTTTCCAGAGGGTCTATTATAAATGTGCAATAAAATATGGGACATTCTGTTAAAAAAAATAACAGATTTTGAGATTATCTTTTATATGGAATGTCATCCATCCGGATAGATCCTCCCAAGAAAAGAAGATTGATACAAAATAATATCGCTGCTTTTTGATGATTGGTTGTCGAGATATATGGTAAGCAATTCAATGTATAACAGTCAGCCCGCCAGTTCGTCGTATTGAAAGATAACGATTTGTTATTCTAGGGTTCTAAAGGAGGAGCTTCAAAATGAGATATCACATGCCCCCCTCCCCTATTCCATCTAAAAGAGTTGTTCCATGTGCCCTGTCCACATTATTGGAATTTTCAGATATCAAGTTAAATATAGTATTCATGCAATAAATTAATCACCGAATCTCAGCTTGCTAACTTGACCCGTTCAAAAAATAAGTAGGGCGCCTTTTTGAAAGGCACGGTATAAACTTTGTCATTTAGGTATGTATTTATACCTTGGATTTAGGAAACTGTTAAGATTTAATTGAACCATTCCAAATTAAGTACCTAACTAATGATTTCCAGTGTGTGAATTTATAGGTATATACTATAAGGTTTTGACAATAACATAGCCATTTGATATAAAACTTATTTACCTAGTACTGCTGATGTTATGAATAAAGTAGCATTTATTATATAGAGTGAAGAAATCTCAAGGTATGCGGGAAGAATCTGAAGTTAAAGAAGATATATTTACAATTTATAATATTGATATCTATAAATTTTAATAATTAAGACTATTTCTGTGTATAGCTATTCTGTAAATACTACTGAATGTTTATTCCCTCTTATTGCTAGAAAGGTCCAGTCAATTGATTTTATTCATTACTGTTGTTCAATCACAGAAACTAGCCGGCTGTTTTTTCTTTGATGAACTACATTTCCTTATGGGAGATGTACGTATATTTAGCACCTCGTTTGACTGGGCTCTTATTTTTATCATTAGATCTTATCTCATGCTCTATTTTTATTTTTATACTTTTGATCCACAAGCTTAGTCATTACTGATGCATAACTGTTTAGTTGTGTCAGTTGTGTGATTTATTTTTTCTTACATTTTATTTGTTATTTTTTTTACATTGGCTAGTTTTACCAAAGATTATGTAATATATTTTAGCCAAATAGAGTTCTATATGTTCATATGTTTTTTATTTGTTTTTTGTCGCTATATTCTTATGTCTCTTAATGGTTTTATTGTATATTTTTTTATACACGAATCTTGTAAAAAATGAAGATTATAAGGGATGTCTGTGTAAATTCTATTGCAAAAAGTTGACAAATGTATTTTAATCAACAGAAATAAAACTTAAAAGTTTAATGTATTTTTATTCTTTCTTTGAATTCCAACACAAAAACCTATATTTGCTTTGGACAGGTGCTTAGTCAATATATTTGTGAATAATGTGTAACCTTCAAGTGACAAAAGCATTTTTCACTATCAGCCAAAGGCAGGCAAAGTGGGCATTTTTGCTATAGACTGATCTAAATTGAGATTCTTTGCTGCTCTCAATGCATTCCTGCAGGAAGGTTAGTCAAGGAAATAAAATCCATGTTTCCAAATGCAACCACACATGTTAAATTATCCTTATTAAGTATGGTTTTTAGCAAGAAAGCCCCAGGATAAGTATCAGATGTTATAATATATTAGGCAAAAGATATATATCTCAAAGGTTATAACCCAGTGAACATGATGAGGCCAAAATGACGTCATTTTCAGTCACTTTTGGTCGGAAACGTCATTGACTCAAAAATAACGTCTTTATTGACGGCATGTTTGTGACGACAACAAGAGTTCTTTTAAACGGCTGTCTGTCTTTTGACGTCTTTTTTAGGACAGCCAGTACTTAAAAGTCAGCACTTACCTACAAAGAAAATATAGAATTTTAACAGTAAGGTAAACTAGGTATCCAAATACTATTAACTACTTTATTATTATTTATAAAGAGTATCAGTAATTCTAGCACAAATGACTTATCTGATAAACAAGTTTTACTATAATATTTGTACTTAAGCGCGATAATAATTCAAATTTTGGAACGGTATATGATTCATTTTGGCATTTGGCAATATAAATCTATGGGTTTGAGAGCTTCGTCGTTATTAACTTACATTGTGGTACAATTTATAGTAGGGACGATAGTATTGCCATATAGTCAATAAGGCTTGGGTGACACCCACAAGAAGTGTGTTGGCCTCCTGTGAAGAAGCAAAGCAATTTTAATAACTTGCTACAAGCAAATTCTGAACTATCGGAGGACTGGACCGTGTTTAAGATCAAGCGGTGTTTTTTAGTTCTTTAATAACCACTTCGATACACATTGTACAAATGCTCCTGAAAAATTACGGATGTGGAACAAGAGGGTTCAAGAGCGATAGGTAAGAAGAATAGTTTGGGCGCCTTTCTACCGCACAGGAACTCACTGCTTGTGGGGCGTCGTTGTCACATCCTAATATTTTTCGACTGTACGTCATATCGAACTGAGAAAGACGTCATATCCACATCATTCAGACGTCATATCGACTTTGTATTTGGTCTTGTATACGACATACCATGACGTCAATTGCCGATATTATGACGTCACTATGTTCACTGGGAAATATTGCTGCAGTTCTTCACAAGATTTTGTTTGCAATTACAAAGCAAATAACTATACAGCTCATGTAATACTTTGTTTCGAGCAAACGGCAAAGTAGTAAGAGTGCTTGAGTTATTATGAATCAACACAGAACACACCCTTCACATTGTTACGCCACTGGAATAATCCCTCCTTTTAACATACTGCGCCATCTACTCTCTTTTGACAGAAGTTTCAATTACGCGATTCCAAATGTAGGTGCCATTAATAAATCACGACCAGCTCCTCCGACCCAAGAGCAGAAATAAGAGGGTAAACTGCCTATGGGAAAACCGTACGTTCTTATGCTGTGCCAGTGCTAATAGGTACTATCGACTGTCGGTGGAAAACGTCTAGAGTCTAAACATAACCGCACGCTTTATTTTAATCTATCTACATAATATCATTGATTCTACCTGAAGATAGCCAACTTAATGCTATGCTTCCGCGTCCGACGTAAAATGAGATAACGTAGCGTCATCTATGAGAACTTCTCACAGCTGTTTCTCTATTTACTATAAGTAGCAGACGGCACATGTGCAGAACCTGTAATACATTTCCGAAACAATGGCTATAGCCTTTATTCTGGACACTTCGGGCTTCACACCCTCTCTATGAGTTTACCCTCATGTTTCCAGTCTTCTTGCTCCGACAGTAATGTGGGTCCCACACGATACTTCCAGCGTTGTTCACTACAATTCACTGACAAGAGCCCGAAAGTTCCATGGGACGAACGTTGGAAACATGTAATTTGTCAGCGCTCTCCCACACGATATGGCGAATGGCCATGAGTCCAACGTTGTACCATCTAGCCATCTACTAGAAATTGGACAGTGGTGGAAAATTAAAATGCCAATCTGAGGCAATTAGATGTTCTGTGGTTATGTAAACCATGGGGAGTCAACTCATATGGGAGAATGGGAAACAGTGCGGTCTTTTTTAGTTAACCTCTTTTATTTCCGTCTGGATGGCTGGATGTTTGGAGGGTAGGTTGGCCCGAGTAAAGATAACATGGCCACGCAAGACAGCTATTGAAATATACTCTACTAGACTATCCGTAGCTAAATTTTTCTCGAAATCGTTGCACAATACTTAAAAATATGCAAATGAAGATTGGAAAACTGCCGCACTGACGTTCTAAATATCTACACGACTCCATCGTTAGTCGTTACCCAGGGATAGATATACGTTTTGAAAGTTGATCTTGTCACCTGGATTGCGGCGTTGCCAGCTCATCGAACGATTGTGCTACCACCAATTCCTTGGACCGTTAGTTCGAGGCCTTGCTAATAGTTTTGAGATTTTTCAGAAATGAATGTAAGTACATAAGAATACTTACAAGAAAGTTAGCTTAGTGCACGTTTCCGTAAATTTCTTTTTATGATAATGTATTACAGGGTGGCCAAGATAAGGATCAGACTAGGTCAAACTTAGTAATCACACAATCTTACATCAAGCATTTGTTTGCACCGCCTACTTAAATATAATGAAAAAGTAGAAAAAAACACCTTTGTTTATAACTAAAAAACAAATGTAACGTGATACATCGTTGAAGTCGTAGAAATAGATGCTATTAGATAAACTGTAACACTTTTTTAAAAACACCATCATGTAGTGCCTAACTAGTGCCTTTAGTTTTTTGACATTGCTTAAAATAAAATCATACAAAAATAGAAACGATTTGGCCAAATTTGTTTTTCCCAGGTATTCCTCAGTATATGACTAATTTGTCAGTGTATGCAATGTGCGCAATTTATTTAAAAAAACATAGGATGTCAACCCTAACACACAAGTAGATTAGTATGCAAGGCCCACCTATAGTTTCCTGCACAGATATCCTGTTTCCCTCAGACGAGTTGGAAGTAGATCTAATTTCTACTTTGGAGACACTTGACACCCTCGTCACAACACCAAGGCACCACTGAGAGACAATCGAAAACCCTATAGTGAACACCACTACTGAAAAAATGTTGCTAAACCAAATAGAGCTCTGTATGGAGCTGTGAACGCGTAGACATTCCGCTACGCCGACGGTTGCCGAGATACTGAAGCGTGCGAGTGCTGTAAGTACCTCGCTGTGGCGATACGGTACGCCCGGGTACTACAGCCACGCCCCTTTCCAGCTCCCACTCCGCGTCTGCTCCCGAAGCGACTCGATGTTTACGTTGACCGGTAGCAGACACGCGCAGTGGGAGCTGGAAAGGGGCGTGGCTGTACTAACGGCCGTACCGTATCGCCGCACCGAGGTACAGCTCTCACACGCTTCAGTCTCTCGGCAACTGTCGGCGCAGCGGAATGTCTAGGCGTTCACAGCTCCGTGCAGAGCTCCATTCGGTTTAGCTACTTTTTTTCAGTAGTGGTGTTCACTATAGGGTTCTTGATTGTCTCTCAGTATTGCTTTGGTGTTTTAGTGTTGTGACGTAGGTGTCAAGTGTCTCCAAAGAGAGAAATTACCTCCAACTCTTCTGAGGGAAGCAGGATATCTGCACAAGAAACGAGGTGAGCTTTCCAAACTCATCTAGTTGTGTGTTAGGGTTGACATCCTATGTTTTTTTATTAATTGCGTACGTTGCAGACACTGAGAGATTAGTCGTATACTGAGGTATATTTCAATCGTCAGATCAATGAGTCAAAGCGACTCATTTTCACTATATAAGCTGACTAGCACCGTTTAAAAACAATATTACAAAATTTAGCTTAGCGGCGTTTTCTGCTGTCCTAAAAGACCATAAATTCTTGTTATTATAAAATTGTAATTTTTGGCGACAACAGCTGACAAGTTTTGCCGCGGGTAAACCGGAAAAAAATGCTGACAGGTACTGTCATACAATTTTTCCATCTAGAAACCATTTGTAATTCAAAATTCCGCGTTTGTGATTGGTAGAAATTAAGACGAGGGAAATGGTCGTCATGAAAAACGCAGGATAAGTTTCAGATGCTACATTAACACAAAAACTGGTGGCACGGCTTGACTTGTGTTTGAATATTTATGGTGGCTATGTTGAAAAATTAAAAGATGTTCATATTTTAGTTCGTGATACAATTTACATTCATAAATAAATTTTCTCTGACTCTGATTCCAAAACGATTCTTACTTAAAAATGACCCTCGGATAAACCATTACTTCAATGCAATTTTTTAAGTTAATAACTGTGGCATGATGGATGGATTTTCGATTGTACAAATGAAGCCGGAATTGTGGAACGACTTGATTTTTCTTCAGCTGATACAATTAATCTTTACAATGACTGTTGAGGTTTTCTAGGGTTTTCCTCGCCCAAGTGCGAATGCAGTCACTAAAAAACCATATTCCCCTACTATAAATACGTATAGTAGAGAAAATGAAAATCGCACTTCTTCTGTTAATGATCATGTAGTTTTAGATAGAAATACTTAATAAATATATTTATAATAAAAAAATGTTTTTTTCAATTGTTTTCCGTGTATTTTATCCTATAAAACTGGGCATTAAAAGTGTTCAGAGACAACGTTCCGCCGCATAGACGCAAAATGCAAATAACAGCTTTTTTTAGTTTGTTGGCAAACATTGCTACGCCTCAAATTTTATATATCTCCCTTGGTATCCCTCAATGTTTTAAACAAAGCTTTTTTTTATATAACATTCTAGCAAAATAGCAGATGTAGCAAAATTATCCAATGAGCTGGCAACGCAGCA